GTGGCCTCGGAGAACGCAAAGCTGATTTAAAAAAGAAAAAACAAAAAAACCCGAAGCAGGTAGCTGCCACACCTGCCTGGCCAAGCGTGAACTCTTTCTGTCTACTTTCGTGTCGCTTAGGAATGGAGGTTAATTGTTGTTTTCCATGTAAGATGGAAACGCGAGGTAGTCATCTCTTTGAAGACGAAGAAACACACGGGGAGGGTAGCGGCTGGCTCCTGTTTCAGCTGCGTTTTTCAGGGCGCGCCGGGGTGGGTTAGGTTCTGATGTTGGTGTTTGGCCAAAAATCGGACTTCCAGAGCCAGTGGAGAGTCACTGCTCGGAAAGGCCTGCGGTCACTTAGACCGATAGATGGCTTGGGAAGGTCTTAAAGCCTCGGGCTCTTACTCAGTACTGGCAATGCCTTAAAAAAACGTATGTGTTGCTTTTTTTTTAAATTTTTTTTTTTTAATTTAAGGAAGAGACGTTCTAGAGCTACTTCGCCTTTTTTCTTACAGATAGGATCTCTAGATTTGTTTGCTATTTTTTTCAAGAAAAAAGTCTTAAGTTGCTAAAAAGATTTTTGCAACTAGTTTGTAAAGTAGTAATGTGCAGGTATTTCAAGGCAGTAATGCTGACTGTTTTAAAGAAATGCCATATAATAGATATTTCTTATAGTAATATGTAAATAGTAAATGTTTTTAGAGGCATTTTATAGGAAGGACATAGGGAGTAAAGTAAGATGTTAAGATTAAGAAAAATCAGCAGTATGTGAGTACTGTGTTATAGCATGCCATTCATATTTTGCTGCAGCCTCCTTTGTTTTATTTGTTAGTTATTTCAAATGAAGAGCAAAACCTATTTTTACTTGTGGTAGGAGTTTATCATGATATATACATGAGTGATAACAGAAGGTGAAACCTGACAAATAGAAGGTGCAGAATTTCAAGAATATCTTCTTGAAATCTGGTAGAGGCATCTAAGGTCATGACCAGCTGTTACTCTGCCCGTCTCTGCTGTTCCCAAATCTAATGTTTGGGACTCTGTCACTGGACGTAAACGTTTTGTTCCCTAGATGATGCGCTGTTTATCAGTAGGGTAGTTGCTGAACGTAACTAAATGCAGAACATAATATGCGAGCCCTTACCTAAACTCAAGTCTTCTCAGGTCGTCTCTCTTCGGAGTTATGAGTTACTGCTATAAATGAAAGGTAGGGACACAGAATGTGTTTTACACAGTGCCAGGAGCTCTAACTGGAGAAGCTGGATGTTGCTAAAACTGAAGTGTAAATACACTTTGTTGTAATCCAACATTAGATCCTGTGTTTGAACACAGTAAAAGTTATTGATAGTATCATTGATTACTACTTAATACTGCACTGTTTGTGTATCTACAACAAGAGTGTTTGAACTGTCTTCATTAATCTGGAATGTGCTCCCCAGGAGTCTAGTTTTACCGGGGGGCTGGGGAATGCAGCTGTTTTTGTGCTAGAAAGTGACTATGGCAATGTCTGTATTATATAGCTTTCACTATATGCAAATGTTCAGATTTAAAGAATGTGATTAGTCTGACTGATCAGGGTCTTAGAAATTCTGGAAAACATGCAGCAGAATGCTAGATTTTGAGAGTTCAAACAGTTCTGTAGCTTCAGAAGTTAGGCAAACTGAGAAATGAACCTGTTCTTAGTACTGAGATTCTTCTTTCTGCATTGTCCTAGATCTTGCCTTACTAGTTACTTAGTCAAGGAAGGAAACAAAACCTTACTTTTCATGGCTAAGTGACAGGATCATTTGCACCGTGGAATAATATTTCACTGTTTACAAATCTTTTCAGATGCCTTTAATGGGACTGTGACCTTTCTACCTTTGGAGGAAAACAGCGAAGGAAAATACCAGGTTAAGAAGTGCAATATTTATCAAATTCAACTAGCACACGTAAAAGATGAGGAATGGTAAGTCTAGGAGTGGAGAGGAAGCAAACCCTTTGCTCAGGGATCACACCACGTGCTGGTATCAGTATCTACTTGGTTTGGTTTGTGTAATTGCAAACCAAATGATTATGATTAGTAAATAACAGTAATGATGTGGTCTTAATACTTAGTGTTCAGTTGAAAATGAAAGATCTATAAAACCAAGCTCAATGCAAAACAAATCTTTTTCCAGTGTTCAGTGTGTATATTGACTGTATGCGTGTGTGCATGATCTAGAAAAAGTTTAAGTAATCTGAGAGTGAAGAGCCAGCTACACCACTGAGAGAAGTTGAGTTCTTTGGTTTTTAGTAAACTTGAAGTTAGAATTGGAAATTTCTGTTTGGAACCTGCTGAGCTTCAGCCATTAAGATATGGGACTACTGCGGCTTGCTCCTGCAGTACATTTGAGGGCATAATTATATCCACTGACAGCCTGCATAGTTTTAAAGAGATGTAAATAAAGTTAGAGATCATGAAATGTGTGTAATGATATTTTTCTTTTCATTAATTATTCACTGTTACTTGTTAGCCTTTGGATTATCTTGCTGAATCGGGTTGTTCATCATATATAGATCTGTAGTCTGGTTTGGCGGTAGATCTAGAATAGCCTCTCATGTACAGTGTTTGAATTAGCAGCTAATGGTCTACCTAACAACATTCAGAGGAGGCTATTACAGTATTCAGCAAGTTCACTGTTTTTCTTTTCTTTTGTTTTTGTACATTACATGCTTCTTTATTCCTCTGTCTACTGTTACACCTCTGCTGGATCTTCTGATTTTTCTCCACTTAAAAAATATGGGAGACGAAGTTTTAAATGGTTTTGTTTTCTCTCCTCTTGAAGTAGCTGAGGTATTGAAATGCACTGTATTTGTATAACTTCTTTATTTTATTTTTAAAGGTCTGTGTCTATTGTAACTTCATCTCCAGAAAACTGGTTTTCCGATGGGATTGCATACCCCAAATTAGCATGGCTTGGAAACGAGCTTCTATCCAAACTGGCTAAATGGTCTGTGGAGCAAAAGCATAGTGAGTTTAAAAGCACACTCTCACTCGTTCCTGTGGCAAAATACAGCAAGGTTTATCAAGAACTTAAAGAAAAATACAAAGAGATGGTAAAGGTAAGTTTGGTAATAAAAGGCAGTAGAAACATGCTCTCCTGGCATTATTTATTGTTTAGTGAAACTGCTTTTTTCATTAATTTTTTTTTAACCAAAAGAAGCAATTTAATTGAGCTGTATACGTTAAATATTTTTTTACTTTTTGTGTATGTGGGGAAAAAAATAGATTTTTTAATAATATGTAGAACTGAACTGAGAAAGCAAGATTTTGAGCCACTAACTACATGGGGAATTAGGTATTTTCCAGAATGTCTCCTTTCAGATAAGAAATAAACAATTCATGAAGTCAGAGAAGGGAGGCACTAAGTCATCCACGTTAAAAAGCGCAGACTAAGAATCTAAGCAGCTTCTTCACAGACTAAGAATCTAAGCAGCGCTGGTTAGCAAGCAGGTTAAATTTCTTATTACTCTTAAATTTAGATGCTGTATTAATAAGTACTTCTGAGCTGAAGGAATAATGTTTTAGCGGTGTTTTATCCTTGATATCCCTCAAAATAACAATGATCATCTTAAATACTCTAAAGAATAATATTCATAACCTTTTACACCAAACTTTTGCTACATACAAAAAAATTGGTAAATACTTCTGTAAAATATTAGCGTGAAAATGTTAAAAGGGTTTGCTGTTGATCTTTTTATGCTAATAGAAAGATACAGATGAAAGAAAGTTTGGACTTGTGGGTAAGGTACTGGCTTCTGACCGAATTAAGTCTTCAGCTCTATAGTACATGTCGTGTACTGTTGAGCAGATTGTTGTAATCTTTGTCTCAATTCCTCATTTACGGAAGAGGGATAATAACACCTCTCCTTTCTGCCTCTCTTGTGTCACGTTTTGACTCTTCATGCTCTTGTGCCAGGATGATGCTATGCCCTGATATGTTATGCAAATAAACTTACCAATAACAGTGTGGTCGATGCTGCACGTAACAGGGCTTGAATTAGTATTTTTTCCCCTGAGAATTACAGTAAGCACAAGGATACATGCATGCTATAATCCAGAACAGTGAGGCAGTTTACTTGTGAATTGCACATATAGAGCCCTGACTGTCTTGGGAACTTTACTGATTGAATGACAGCAGGCATTCTTTATCCCATTACTCTTGTGTGACTCAAAAACTAACAGTCTTTATTTACATTCTTTTTGTATTTTTTTAATGAAGTTAAAAATTCAAAATTTATGAATCTGAGAAGCCTGTTAAAGGAGTGAGTATCCAGATCACTCTGAGCATACTATTTACGTTGATTTAGATAGCAAAGAAATTGATAGCATTTCCTCTCTTTTTCTGAAGGTGTGGCCGGAAGTAACGGATCCTGAGAAATTTGTGTATGAAGATGTTGCTATTGCTGCTTATCTGCTGGTAAGGAACTGCTCTGCATAAGTAGGAAAATTTAAAACCTCTCTCAAGAACATCGTTGTTTTCATTTTATTCTTACGGCCTTCTGTAAAATAGAATGACATAGAGTTATTATAGGCTTACAAAGGAAAAAGAAGGAGCAGGGGAAAAGAAAAACTGGTTTTTTTCCTTCCTTTTTTTCATTTAAGAGGAGAGAGAGAAGTTCTTAGTGCAATGTTTTCGAGTGCAATTTAAACAGAAATTAAAATTTGTGGCTATAACTCAATTCAAATGGAGTTTGAAATACTCTTGACAGTAATACCAAAAAAGATTAGAGATTTACCTGTAATGAATGATTACAAAAACCAGGCCTTTAGAAATGGGATAAAGGTAAATGTGAGAGTAAAATGAAAATCAGTGAATGTGTTTTTTATGCTGCCCTATGCCGCAAAAAATTAAACGCAGTAAATGAAAATTGAATTCAGAGGAAGAATGAAACTTCTTTGTGAACCTGTCATAAAGACTTGCAATTCTCTGTCACAGGAGGTTGATGACCTACATAGAGTAACTGTATTTTTAAAGCGATTAGGTCCCAAAGCACTGAGCTGTCAGAGAAATAGTGGTTAGTGTCCAATTTGGAGATAAGCTATGGTATTATACCCATTTCAACCACTGATTTTTTAATTGGGCACTAAAAATTTTTTTCACTGCTTTGTCTTTCCCTGATAAAATTTCAGCTCAAATTCCATCCTCGAGTGTAGTATAAAGGCCAACTGTAGTAGGTATATGAATGTCTAGGAACGCAGATAGAGGCTTGGTGCAGTTTCCTAACGTACCTACCTAGTAAAGAGTTTATGAAAATGCTACCCGTGTACAGTCACTAGAATCTTCAGGTTTGTAAAGAGCATCTCAATTTGTCACTATATAGGCATGCAAATGTTTTTCTGACTACAATCCTGAGTGCAGTAAGAGTATGTCTACTTCGAAGAGTATGTAGAGACCCTGTTGCATCTTCTGTAAATCAATATTTGTAAACAAGCTGACTCACTTACAAGCTGACTCATTGAGGACTAATTTATTTTGTTAATTGACTGTTTAAACTTAGAACTTCAGTTCCTTATCCTGTAAAGGCTTTTAGAATTGTCTGACGAAGGCTATGTTGACCTAGGCTACTTTCAAAATCTTAATTATCACATTGGCGTGATAAAACTTTCTCCATCAATTGAAATTATGATCATGACATTCGTTTGTGGAGAAAGCTATGTAAGAGACATATCTTATGTTATTTTTACCACCTTGATAATAGTAATTGTTGCATGTAAAAAAATTAGAAAATTCATTCTTGTTCATTATGAATTGTAGTAGTTGTGGCCACTGGAAAAATTTGGCATGATACTCTCGAAAATCTGTTTTGCAAACTTTTATGCATGTGAGAGTTAGTTTACAGTGATAAAGTGTTTTAGCTGAAGAGATAGTAATTTTCAAAAAGTTATTAAAATGATCCAATAACTGGCTTAGCTAAATGGAAGCTTAATGTATGATATTAATAACCTAGCCTGTTTGCAAAATTTTCAAATGTCAACACTATGTTATATAGTAACTCCCTATGTAGAAATGTTAAACAGGCGATTAAAAGAAGGTAGGTCCGATGTTAACTCTTTACAGTTTTATGGCAACTAGACTGAGATGACGGCGGGGCAGGAGCATCTGACCCTCATTTTATTCCGCAGTCGTAAGAATTTTACCAGCTGTAACATGCCCCAAAAGTACCAACTGCACATGCCCAAAGAAGTACAAATTCACTTTGTGTCATAAGAAGATCAGCAGAGGATGGAGATAGGTTTGATATGTGTAGGAAGTGGTAAGAGTTTTCTGGGTTTTACAGAGTTTAAGAGTTTTACAGTCTGCAGTGCAAAAGTGCAGTGACTTACACATTTAGAAACACAAACGCAACCTGCTAGTCTCATGGGATATTTGCAACTTCTTTCCCCTCAGCAAAACTGGCAAATTAGTGAGTGGCAATTTTACAAACATAAGTTTTCTTGGTCAGATATTCTTGACTATTTCTGCTTCATAGGAAAAAATAAGTGTGCGGCGTTGATGAATGTCTCTTTTGTAGCATCTCATGGAAAAAAGCTTATCTGGCAACGGTGGCAGGAGACTAATTCTTTTCCTGCGGGCAAACATCCAGTTATTAAGATTAACTTGTGAATTAAATAACAACATAAAACTGCTTATATATGGAGCAGGGACTAAAACTGGGCTAAAAGCTGTGGGTTCACTTTGGTTGATCTAGAATTTGGGGCAATTGAATGTTGTTAGGTAATTTACTTGTTGCCTATTCAGTAGAAAGTTATGTTACATGTACCAGTCTAGTCCACAGAACACTTTTTTTTTAATTTCCAACTCTGCCACCGACTCTCTTCAGTGTTGTATGACAGGATAAATACTTTCATGATGCTCCTTACAGAGACACTGTTGAAGCTTACTTGCTAATTCCCTTACTTCCTCTGTTCCTCTCTATGTGCCCTTTATTTTAGCGGCTTATTTTACATTTATGCTTTTGGTAGCCCAGTGTTGTATAGCTGTGATTTATTTCAACTTCTAGTGACTCAGAAGTGAGTAGAGGATGCTTGGTAGTTCACAATATGCTTGATATTTTGCAGCGTGTATTTTTCCCCTCCGTAAACAGTCTAAAGGCTCTTTCGTCAAGTTAGCTTCTCTGTGAGTGAAGTGACTGCCTTCTGTCACATCTGCACTGTCTCCCAGCACTCTCCTTTCATTTTCAGTATCCTTTGGAGGACTAATAAAAATTGGGAGCATACCTGCTAATCTGTTGCTGTTGGAGTGCCCTCCTTCCAAATTCATTTTGGTCAGTTTCCCTACCTGTGTGGTACTGAATTGAGACAATAAACTTTGACAGGTTGACTGCAATGTGTTATTGTGTTGGGCTTTGAAAACAATCTTCATCCTTGTCACCTTACGTTAATAATAAGCTGGGTGCTTATGGATAGCTCTTTGATGCTTGACTGCAGTATCCTGGAGATGGGATATCATGTACTGTAATGTAAATTAAGGCTAGATGGGTAAAACACTCCGGTGATGTAGTTGCACTAAATTCTGCAGCAACCTGAGTTGATGAGACACAGCAATGCCTAATATATGAATCTCGTAGCTTAGGCAAGACACAGATGCTGAAGCGTTCAGTTAAGGTGTTAATGTTTTTGAGCACGTGTTGTGGCAGCGCTTAAGACGCCTGTATGAATTTTCTTGCTCACAGCTGAGCACCAAAGCTGTTGGTGAGGTTTATAGAGAGCATGCTTTTAAGGTAAATTTGAGAGCATAATTCTAAAATGTTTTCTTTCTTTGTCTTAGGTTCTTTGGGAAGAAGAGAGAAAAGAGAAGGGATTGTCTAAGAAGCAGTCATTTGTAGATCTTGGCTGTGGAAATGGTCTACTGGTTCATATTCTAAGCAATGAAGGGGTAAATAGAGCGTATGGGTGTGGCTTTTGTTTTTGTTTCATAAAAATAGTTATTCAGTATTCTTATTATGCTGTGCTTTTGTCTAGCATGCAAATAGCCAAAATTCAATTAATTCATGTGGTAGTATGAATAGGATTTTGCCATTCTGTAGTTACCAGAAACAAATCCTAGCAGAGGCTTAGAAGCCTTTTATTTATTTTTTAGTAGTGCAATTGGTTGCCCTGAAGGCTATTTATCTTTCTCGGGTAAGAAATGAAAAAAGTAGTGATGTGACTTAATCAGAGTTTTAGACAGAGCAAAAAAGGAATGGGAAATCTTGAAACAGAGATTCTCTCTCACAAGATGCTTTAGATTAGATGTTTTTTGTAAACTTATTTTTCTTGAACCTGAAGTCTACTCATCATGTCTTGAAAATGTTTTTCCATATCTTCAGAAACAATCCCAGCATTTGTCGTTGTAAAAAGACCTAACAATGCATCGTGCTTTTGGAAGTGAAATCAGAAGTACAGCAAAACTCAGTTTTCTTAATGCATAATTTTTGAAACAAGCAGAAAAGAAACAGCAGAAAAGTTTTGAAACAGCAGAAAAGGTCACTGAAATTCAATAAAACCCTGTGAAGTTCAGTCTGTCCATTTAAGAAAATTGTCTTTTCCACTTTTGGGAAAACAGGGTAACATTTGTAGAGGAAAGTAATATCTCCTGTTGGATCAAATGGTATCATTGGCCAGCTTTTCAAAACACAAGCTCTCTATCCTTGTGTAGTCAGAAAAATTTGATCTAGTAAGAGATTTTTTTTAATGTAGGTGCTTCTTTTCTTATGTTATTAAGTTGTCAGTGCTATAGCATTGAGAAGCATGTTGTTGATGGGCAAAAAATCCTGTGTCTGACTGTCACAGGAAACTTTTTCTAATAATTGATTTTGTGAAAATAATAATTTTGCTCACCTATTGCATAAGGTTCTTGGAGTTCAAATACTATTGCTTATATATTCTTTATTTCTTACCGTATTTTTCAGTCCTTATTCCTTTTCCCATTACTTCACATAGGGAAAATGTGTTTGGACTCCAACAACCCTACTGACTTCAGTAGTTGGAAGGCTGTTCTCTCAGCACGGGCGGCTTTGAGTGGCGCTCTTCCCTGAGCCTCATGGACAAAGCACCCGTTACTGCAGCAGTAACACTAACTCCATGAAAGGTTTTGTTACAAAAATCCGACTCTCCTTGTACTTCTCTAAGCAAGATTTTCAAGAACAGTCTCAATAGGTGTGCCCAGATAAAATTTCAAACCAAATATATTCTAAATGTCTCCTAGTCTTTTCCTTTTGATTTAGTATTCAGCTTCTGCTGAAATGGTGAAGCTGTTTTTCATATGCGTCTCAATTTTAGTGTGAATTAAATAATCAGTTTTTACATATAGATGTAGTGAACTTGTATGAAAATTTCTGGTAAAATTTGTATTTAAAAATGATACCTTTTTGTTGTTTTTAAATATTTCAGCATTCAGGTAGAGGAATTGATGTGAGGAGAAGAAAAATATGGGACATGTATGGATCAGAAACTCATTTAGAGGTATTATGCAAATGTATGTGAATCTCAGTCATTTATAACTATTCATTTGTTCATTGCCTCAGTCTGTGTTCGTGTAGATATAATCAAACATGCCAGGTTATATAGATTATTATCTACAGCGATCTATGGACTTGGTGTGATGACAGTCATCTGTCCAGTGGTATTGTAAGGAAGTTGTAAAGGGAATTCATAGTTAGCCCGATACAATATCATGTCCTTGCACATTTTCAATTTTCTCTTTTTTTTCAGCTGAAATGACTAGTGTGATCTTTCTGTTTTCATACACATTATGAGACAACTTTTTACTGAAAGATCAATATTCAGTAGCATTCTTTGCACTGTTGTACTTTACAAAAGAATTAGCATTCCAAGTTATAAGTAGTTTATTCAGAGCAGTTCTGTTATTAATTGAAGAAAATGGTTTTGACCTTCTCGAGTACTCTGTGCTCTTTTGCGACAAAATTGTTGAACCTCAGAGGAGCCAGTTCTTTGCTGTACTGACTTTGTGGTAAGTCATTGCAATAATAGCCTACAGAAAACTGGGCAGGAAAATGAGTCTGAAAGAGGGATTATATTTCAAATTCCACATTAGCTGTTTATGAGAACAGGAACAGTTCAGCACAGGAACGTTCACTTTAACTCCAGCTGTTCTTGGTCTGATATTCATTAAAGGTTAGTGCTGATGAATGGTTGCGCTTTGGAGGAGAAGTGTTCCTGGTTTCTTCCTCTGTAGATTTCGGAAACTTCTTACCACATTGTCTCAAACATCCTCTAAGATGTTTTCAACTACCATTATATTTAAGGAATTTTCCTTCTATAGTTACTCTGTAGTAAGACTGTTTAGAAAGCGCATTCAATGTATCTTCGAGTGCTAGCAACTTTAAGGTGTTGAGAGGTGGAGGAAGGGTGGGTTTTGTTGTTACTAAAGTTTACTGTTGTGGAACCTTTTGTCACCCTGCCGTTTTGAGTATAGATTGCCAAAACAGTAAAGTTCTTTTGTATAGGCTACAACCAGATCTTATTTAAAGGATTCAAGACGAAATAATCTAAAACAGCAAGCCGCAGTGCTACTTTATTCCCTTTATACTGTTAATAAGGTATATTTCCTGGTTTTAAATTTTTTATATATATAAAAATACATAAAATAATAAATTTTCTATAATACATCTGATCACACTGTAGGTTTTCCTTCTTGTTGTAAATTCTTTTTTCTGTCCCAGTTGCTTTCTGTATTGCAGAAAACAGTGAATTTTGCATATTTATTTCATATTAAGGTTTGACCATTTGCAATTTCTTAGTTTTCATGACTCCTAGGAAAATGCCTGAGCATCAACTGTCAGTCTTTGCAGCAAAAGAATTTTTTTTTTTTTCTTTTAACCAAGACAAATAAGAATTCACACAGAAAACTTGAAAAAGCCAGGTGGAAAACAATGAAAATATAAAAAATATGCATATGAGCAAAGTACAAATTTGTGTGGGAGGGAGTTGCAAAATCATATTTCCTCCTTCCTACTTGTTATGTAAGGCTCCCTTAGCCACAGGAGTGACAGAAGAAGAATGCTTCTGCCTGCTTACAGCCTTTTTGTTCCCCTTGGATGTTAATTCTGTTTTGATCTTTATCTAAAGCAGAAGTTGTGGGATGAATATTGCCGTCTGTGACATTAGTGCCCATACTCACAATAGAAGTGAATGTAACAGGTGACATGCTGCATCACCAAACTGCTGTCAGACATGGTGAATACAAATTTGATATTAATATCTGTCAAAATGTGGACTGTGGCACTGCTAATTCATGCTGTGTCTAAGTTCAGCAACCCAAAATGAAATGAAGCATAGATGTAATTTCTTTAATCGACCATAAGAAAACATTTATCGAACTCTTGGATTAACATCAGCTAATCTGCTAACCACAAATGTTACGTGTACATGTTATCTGAATATATATTTACATACTCCAAAAATGGACAGAGATATAGTGATTAAAGTGGACAATGATGCACCATAGTGAGACTTACAACACCTAAACTAGCGTTTTCTGAAGAGAGAATATAGGTTGGATTTGAGGTATTCTGACGTTTCTGAAGTCCTATACTAATTCTTTTGAATTTCTGTGTAAATACTATTTTGCATGTGTGTGACTGTTGAGCTACAGAAAATGCATAAACATACATATAATAACATAAAACATGAAAATATGGGAACTCTTTTCAGAGCTTCCCCTAAATATCTGGAGATTTACATTTCCCACAGTATTGTTTTATTTTATTTTATTTTATTTTATTTTGATCTTCCCTATAATTATTGTGAGATTCATGTACGTTTTTAGAGGAGAATGTGTAATGGTACTATGAACATCTTCAAGTGCTTTTTTTGCTGAACTTGGTTCTCTTTTTTATTTTGCGTTTCTTGAGCTAAACAGAGTTCTTAGAAACATCTGAGTAAAAACATATGACTGTAAGAAAGACAATTAAACGTTTTAAAGGCACTCTGGAACTTTTAAAATTCAACCCATATGAGGACTTCATCCTGTTTCATAGAATATCTGAATAGAGTGTTCCCAATGCTAATTATTCTTCTCTTGAGGCAGTATTGTGGTGGGAGGACTTCTGAACGGATGTCTCAGTCCATATATATTGAATTTCTGCAAGCAAAGTGCTTTTGTAAAGGCCACCAAATAAGCCTTCTTCCTCTAACTGGTATACATCTATTGCTTCCCACTTTTCCTCCTATTTAGTGAGTATCATATGATAATTTTGACACAGGTTAGCAGAGAATGGAATGGCATTGTGACAAAAGTGGAAGTGTTGCAATGGATTAGGTACAATGTATGGGAATGACAGGGTGTGAGGCCTGGTGTTCTGTACATTGGGAAGTGTCTGTGGAAGAAAAGAAGACAGTAACAAAACTTGTTCCAATTAATTGCTAGACCTAGATTAGTGCAAGACCTAGTTCTATAAAAAGCAGCAAATTGAACAGGTCTTTTTGAAAAACTGAGTCCAGAAATACATGACATAGGAGGATAATGGCAAGGGACCAGAATCTAGTGAATGTTACTTATTTACATGTGTTTAGGGTGTCGGATATCTTTTATTCCACTCTTTGTCTACCAATATGTTGTGGGTTGCTGTTGCTTAATTCCTTGAAGCCTTAAAAGATTACTGCTTGGCAGAAGTGCAGATTGAGGAAAATATTGATAGCTTCTGTGATTTCATACAGCTTGTATTTATCTCCTTGTAGGATTTTATAGTGTTTCTTAGCGCTTTGTTAACAAATACAATATATTCAAATATAATAAAATTTACTTAATTTTTGTTGTTTGCTGTTGTTTTTTCTCAGGAATGTGCAATCATGCCAGGTGACAGTAATCTCTTCCCAGATGTTGACTGGTTGATAGGAAACCATTCAGATGAATTAACACCGTGGATACCTGTAATTGCAGCTAGGTATGAAAAAAACGAAGAGGAGTTAAATTAAAAAACGTAATCTACCCATGCATGCTAGATGAAAACTGCAGTTGTTGTGGCTACACCTGCTGTCCTTTTTGCAGGGCTTGGTGTGCGTGATACCAGCTGGTTACCCATACAATTTTTCTTCTTTAATCCCATAAAGAAGTGTAAAAATAATATTTATTTCATCCTAGAATTAAGAATAATATAGCATTTTGGTTTTGAAGTTCAAAAATGGGATTGATTTTCATTCTTTAAATTTCAGTCTGGTGAAAAATTACTGTTGTGTCCTGTCTTTCATTGAATTGGTCTGCTCATCACAACTAGCTGGAATAGGTTGATACCTAGAGATTTAGTGCCACAAAACAATCTGCCACAGTAATTTGCTATAGCAAATAATTTGTGAAACAGTGTCTTGTAAGAGGATCGTACTTGTATTATTTCTTGAAACTCTGTCGCTTCATAAAAATTGCCATTATTGCTGGTATCTAATGAGTTTTTACGTTTATGTCCATTTATCATCCCTGTTGTAGGTCTTCCTATTGTTGTTGCTACTTTGTGTTGCCATGTTGCTTCTTTGATTTCCACGGAAAGTATAGCCGAAGACAAAGTAAGAAGACTCAGTACAGAGAATATCTTGATTTTGTTTCCCAAGTGGGATTTATATGCGGCTTTCACATAGAAGAAGATTGCCTTAGAATTCCCTCAACTAAAAGGGTAATCTTCTCTCTCTCTCTCTCTCTCTCTCTCTCTCTCTCTCTCTCTCTCTTCCCCCCCCCTTTTTTTTCTTTTTTTTCTTTTCTTTTTTTTTTTCTTAGCTGTTAGCTCTCTGACACATACGGATGTTTGTTCATGATTATTGTTGTGTAAGACCGTGCTGTAGTCAACTGCATTACTTCAGACAATATCCTCTGAAGAGAGGTTAAAAGTACTGATTTGTTTCATGGGTAATCTGCTATATCAAAATTAAGGTCATAGGTACAATTCCAAAGACAACAGAGTGGAATGTTTTATGGTTATTTCTTCTGCATCTCTATGGGATGAAAAGCTTTTATACTTGCTTTTCACCTTAATTTTCCAGCTGCCTTCATTGATTCCTTTTACCTCAAGCGTTGCTGATTTTCATGGCCCATGAAATTCAAAGTGAAACATTCTCACAGTGAAAAGAGAGTTCAGCCTTAATCTTGTGAATAATCTGAAAATTAGGAAAAATCTTCTTGTTCTTGTTGCTTGTATGGTGTGATGGATTATGGTTTGATTACTGGATTTCTTCCGTGGTTCCAAAATTCAGAAATCAAAATAAAAGAAAACCCACCCAGACTAATGAACACTGAGTTCCGATGAACATCTCCTGTAGTTAGATTTAGAAACCTGGTAAGTCGTGTGCAAGTTGGAGGACTGTGTATAAACATAGGATTCTATATAAATATTATGATAGAAATAATGATTTACCCGTTTCTGCTACAATAGGTGTGCCTTATTGGGAAAAACAGGACCTATCCACCTGTGCAACGTGCTCTGATTGACAAGCAGATAACACAGTATATTCATAATCGTCAGACTTGCGCTCTGGTCACACGTGACAGAAGAGTTGGATTTAGTCGTAATGATGCCTCTAACACTGTGTGCAAAGAAACAGGTGCAGAATTTCCTGTAAAGGAGACTGAAACAACTGGTAGAATTTGGATGCCTGGATTTCAACCCAGAGAAAAAGTAGAACAAGTCAGAAATTGTGCTGCTCTCCCTCGGGATTTTGTAGATGATGTGGTTCTAAATGTGGCAAACTTGCTGTTAAATACAACCCAAGAAAAATCATGCTGCAGTACAAATAGTGGAAGTACAAACACCTGGAATCAAGGAGGTGAGATTGGTTTTTTCCAATAAATCTACATTATTGTAGGTTTAGTAAGTGAATAGATTTTAGGAAATAGTGGGAACAGTAAAGTAACAATCTCTGTCAGCAAGGGCAAAAAGTAATGGCAAGCACTACTAGAAAAATCAGAGGCCTTTTCGCATGCTGGGATGCAAATAAGGCATATAAATTCTGTTTCTTATTTGCTTTAGATTTTTCCGGTTTACTTAATACTGATTTTGGCTTAGTATTTATGTTTAAAAACAAAACAAAACTGTTCCCCATTGCCCAAAACACAGCAGTCTACACCTCTTTTGGGGTGAATATTAAGTTTATTTTTGGATAGTCGCATAGTAACTGGGTATTGTTCCACAAGAAGTGCTTTGAAGTGCCATTTGGTCACAGCATGATTAGGAACGTTTGGTTAGTTTAGTTTCAAAGAAAAAGAATAAAGTTGCTGTTAATTTTATAAACACAGTAGTTCTAGAGTGCTCTTCTCTTTCTGCTTTCCTCCCTCCACTTTTATTATTTATTTCAGTCTTCTGTCATATGTTCTATGACATATTTCTATGACATATGTTCTGTCATATTTTGTTAATGTTCTAGGAGATCCTGAGTCAGACTCTCTGTACTACATGCATGAAAACAAGTGCCTAGCACAATAAGGATTGTATATTACTGTAAAAAATTGTGTGGGGGGTGGTAAATTGCATCTTACTGTGGAAATTCTGACTTGAGTCCTGTAGAATGAAAGCTTCCATTTTACAGACAATATACATGTGTATACTGTGCGTGATACTAGGAGCGCAAAGTTGCTGCAGTGCTTGTAGGTAATCTATATATTCTGCTTGTAATATTCAAATTATACAGAAGTTAAGAGTCAGTGGGAGAAGCAGGGCTTTTTAGGGTTTTGTATATACATATATATATTAAAAAATGTATTTAATACCTACATCTTTATTTACTGCAGAAAGCCTTTCCTTGAAAGAAGTAGCAGAGCACTTAAATGAAGAGACTTTAAAAAGGCTAAAGAGTGAATACGGAGGCCTACAGACACTACTCAAGAACAGTCATCAAGTATTTGAAGGTAAGACTAGAGAGATGTTGTTTTTCTCTTTGTTTTTTAATAACCTGTTTTATGGCTTCTCTCTGCTTCTCTGCTTACCACGGTAGTGGGATTTTTTTCAATTGCTGTGTATACCTTTGTGGAAAACTAGGTAGTGCTTATGTGCCCCTGTATTGCTCCAAGATACCATTAATTAAAACTCTCCTTTGAATAAGATTGGAAAGGCAGCTGCCAGCGAAGAGTTGTTCTCTTAGACCAGTTGTGTCTGAAAAGACCGCTCTTTAGCAGGGCAGCCCTTTAGTTAAAGTGATTAATTAGACTCTGTAGCTGAACTAGAGAGAACTTTTCTTTTTTCTGTAATGATCTGGGGTGGGGGGGCAGTCAAGCGCAGGGTAATTTCACTAAAGCATTTCACTGAGACTTAATTGTGACTTAACAAGCCCCGCAAAATAAATGCCAACACAGAATAAAGCTGGTCTAGTCAAGAACCTTTAAGTGTGTTGAGGCTTAATGTGTTCGTTTAGCCAGTGGTAGCCTGGATAGCAGTTTTCAGAATACAGAATGGCAAGGGGGAAATGATCCAAGCTACAAAAGTGTGATACAGAGGATATAGATTTAGCAGAATATGAAAACAGAATATGGTAATTTACAAGTGACAGATTCTTCCCTCTTCATTTTCACTGTTTTTTGACTTACGTTTTTCTATCTCTGCTATTTTTTCTTCTGTTTTTTCTGTTTTGTTGGCACATTTAAGGAGTTGACAGGGATTCAGAGATTCACAGACTAATCTGTGTGTACAATTTATGGTCCTGACACAGTAAACAAATAAAAAAACCTCACCAAAATTAAGAGCCATAAATAATCCCTGATGCAGTGCTGAATCCCTGTTAATGGTGTTCCTGTTATGATGGTTCCTACCCTTTCACTGTTGATTCATATCCAGGATTAGACTTGTCAACTCTTTTGAGCAGTCTGTACTTTGGTCAGTTGAACCATTGTCTTTGCAAGAGCATTTCTTTGTAGTTAAAGTTGTAGAAGACTCTTACTGAGTTTTTAAATGTGGACTAATAAAGTTTTGAACAAGGGAAAGATTGATGTTTATAAAATCGAAGGTTTAGGAGTTGCAATCTGAGTTCAGAGGATTTTAATTTAAATTATCCTAAATAGTATTGGAAAAAAAAGGGAAAACAAACAAACTCTCTGCAAAGATGATAGAAAGGTGCCTCAGGCTGTTTGACATAACAGCAAAACATCTCACAGGGGCAATCAATCAATTCTTCTTTAGACCGTGTCTACATTATCTCAGTTTGTTGTGCACATCTTTCTATTTCTGTGCAAATGGTACATTTTGGTTTTGCCTGAGTGATCCATTTGTAGCATATGTATTTTATTCACAGAATGTCACTATGCATTTTTTCTAGTACAATTCCCATGACTCTCTATTAACAGCTGTATTTTTTTTGTTGTTTTTAAATTTTAGTTCTAAATGGGAGAGTTCATATTCGTGACTGGAGAAAAGAGAAACCATCAAGGAAGAACAAGCCTGAAATAAAACAACGCCTTTCAGCTGAAGCATTTAAAACGCGTCTCTGTTGGTTTTTCATTCATCATCCTGATGGTTGTTCTTTGCCTTCTGAATCTTGTCCTTATGCTCATGGGACTGAGGAGCTAAGACAGTCTCAGATTATGAAAAAGAAAAAACACGCACAATAATAAAATGCTGCAATTTATTTTTAAACTTGTGTACATGACTGGATTTATGATCGTTTTGGGCTGTCTAGTGCATGAACACCTGTATGATAAGGTTATCTCATTCATAGGTATTTTATTTTGCAATTTCCTTATAAATTCTCCTGCGGTTTTTTTTATTATTAATTGAGAGAGAGTATTCTAAAGTATGTACTTTTGAATTTTGGTTACTTTTAAAAGATGTGGCCTTTCTCACGAGCATTTGCAATATACTTTGCATAACTAGGAAAGTAAAAACTCTTAAATTAAATCACAGGGCATTGTTCATCATCTTTGATCAGTTCATTTATATATAATGAGGTATCTATGAACCCTGCAAATTAACTCAAAGCTTTCCAGTAGGATTTATGCTTTCTTATAACTCACTGTGGCTCAATTGGAGTCAGAAAGTAGAGAGATTTCATTCTTTTCTGATCTGTGTTACCCTTTTGTCCCTATTACTATCTCCTTTTTCTGGACAGACCTCGCCCGCCCTCTCGCCCACCCTCCCTTGTTGTTGTGGGGGTTCTCACATGTTTGTGTAGGGCTCTCTATCCTATACTGCACACTTTTTTTTTTTCCTTTTTTTAGGGTAGGTAAGTATAGTTAAGTGTGTAGTTTGTAGTCTAGTGTATCTAATAAACACACTCCCTACCATTCTGATATTATCAGATAACAAAGAAGACTTTTGCTGAAGAAATAGCAATGTGAAAACATAAATAAAGGGGTATGTTAATGAAGGAGAAATCTGAAAGTGAGAGCAAGGGTATAGCCCTGGATCCTACATTTCTTCTATGATGAGGTTCTAAGAGTGAATAAGCTATATGTGCAAGGAATTTGAAGAACAAAGGAAATAATTGAAGACAAAGGAAAAAGGAAAGGTGGCACTGAAAATGTTTTTCAAAGCAGTTCCAAAGACACTTTCCTCGCAGTCTTTGCTTTAATCAAAACTTTTTTGCTTTTAAAACAGGCTGCAGCCCACAACGTGCAGAAGAAGGGACTTAATCTGGCACCCAGCCCCTTACTTGGAGATCACTTACCACGCTATCCACCTGCCAGGTAGTGTAGCCCGCTGGCCTGCCTCTGACGGGAGCTGCGGTGGGCTCCCAGGGCCTTCCCTAGGGGCTGTGCTCTGCAAATGTATCATGTCTTGAATTTAAGACTAATGACTAACGTATCTAGTGCTTTGTCACAAAGATTACAGAACCTACAAGTTTGGCGGGGGTGGATCCTACTCTGAGGGGAGCGTGTGTGGGATGTAGTTCAGTTAGGGTTATTGGACTAAGGGAAAGAATAGTAGTATAAGCCATGTAAAGTGCAACTCTTATGAAGGAGGGCAGCACAGTAAGAGAATGCAGTTGATAGGGTGGTTATTGTTTAGTTTTTGTAAGCATTTCTAATAAATGTTTAGCTTATAGAGAGGAAGAAAGTTAAGAAAAGCCATGGAATCATTTTATATACCTATGTATAATCAGCTGAAGTTTTAGCCTTAGTTAGCCTTAGCTTGGCTGCACGCAAAGTAAGAAGAATTCCCCGAGATGCTTATTCACTATAATAATGTTATAAGTTTGGCGAAGAAGGAACACCTATAAAACCATGTTCATACTATTTCCAGATGAAGATTGTTTCCAGATGGTGTGAAGAGCAAAACCAGACTCTAGTTTTTTTTCTAATCATCAGCACCTCCTTTGATGCTTCAGTTTGGGGGAGGATGTGTCTAACTTGAAGCAGGTGCTTTCCTGAGTTGGAGTTTACCTGTGGAGTCCCTAAATACATCAGATGGGCTTGCATGAAGTCAGGGTTAAGAAGCTGAAGGAAGGAGTTTCTTTTTTTTTCTTAACTTTTTTTCCAACAACTAGGGAATAAAATACTGTGACTCATTGAAGTAATAGATACAAGTGACCAGACTAGTGGATTGATTTTAAAACTACTTTTTTTCTTCTTTATTCCTTTGTGAAATTTTATGATAACCAGCATACTATTTAAAGTAGTAGCTATTGACTTCCTTTGTTTTTTTAAACGCAACAATGTATATCATAATAGTTATTCTTCTCCCTGTTTGGCATCACTGCAGGTAGCAAGCCGTCTAACGTCTCCTGTAATTACAGAAACTTTCCTGTTGTTTGGAGAAGTGATGAGAGAACATTCTTCCTCCTCATTTTTGCATCAGAATGTCAGCCTTATAAATTCTGCATGTAAATCCAGAGGTAACAGCTAAAGCCGTAAAGTAGGTCTACTTAATCTAGCTGCTTTAATTTCTTGTTGCATGGTCTGTGATCTAATCTTAAAATGGCATTCGTGCAGTATCCAACTTTAGCAATGGGTGAAGTTCTGTAGTTGGTAAGGATCACTTTTGCTCTTAAGAAAACCTCCTTGCTCCACAAGGGGTTCAAGCACAAAGTCCCAGTTGTTGATACGGCACTGTCATTTTACTCCTTAGTTTATTGGAATCACTACCCATTAGCTAATTTATCTGTATTTGAAGCCTATTATTATAGAGGGAAAGAAATTGCTGTGTTAATTTTATAAACACAGAGTGAGAGTATAAAGAGATAGAAAAGTTAGATGACAGATTGTAATCATAGAAATGCTAGGATTTAAAGATTTTGTATTTCTCTCTGTAGATGAGCTATAGCTTTATAAAGAAGATTAGCTGTAGATTTGTTAAAAATCTAAATAAAATGAGAGGAAAAAAATACGAGTTTCCTTACTCTCTTAAAATACAGCCGTTTACTGAAGTTTGTTTGTTTTTATCAGATTCCTAAAAAAAAAAAAAAAAGAGACATTGTGTTTTCCCTATGAAATATCTGTGTTTATCTTCAAGGCAGTCTATTTTCTGTCACGTTTCAAACCAGTAAAATTTTCTGTGTGTGTATCATTTGGATTATCTCTTTATGATACTCCTGTCTTTTTTTTTTTTTTGTTATAAATTATTAGGTAGCCCAAATTTAGAGCAATTCTTGTCTAACAGCAATTACAGGCCTCTAGGTATCTTTTGAGGCTTGCCTGTTCAGATTCAAAATTTTAAATCATAATTAACTCTTTATCTTCAGTGATCTTTGGAGCATGATTTTATCAGCTGAACTCTAGCGTTTCTTGCTATACAAGTAAGCGATAGAGAGCAGTCATTAGCTTTGCTAAGGACATCGTATAGGCAAATATTTCAGAATCAACAGAGATGGAGACCAAAATCTATAACAGTCCTACCAAGTGACAGATAAAATAGGTATTGGGACAGGTGTCTGCTAAACTGCTTATATATTTGGCATCAACTGAAGGCACATCAGTACCTGGTCTGTTATTTCTGGTAACTTACGTTCATACGGTTTTAAGAATATTTTCATATAAAAATTGCAAATACTTGGGAATTCACCCAAAGCAATACTATCGTGGTACTAGAAGGAATACCTTTCATGTTTGCCTATTTGCTGTTTTATCATGTTGGACCTGTGAGTTAGCATCCTTAAAATTTTCCTTCAGAGTGTTAGTGCATTTCCTCTTACGGAAGCAATAGCATATACTTACTATACCTACTACAGCATATATATAGCATATATAAGTAGGCTTACTATACTTACTACAGGAATAATATATACATGGCTGTGGTTTCATGACTAGGCTTTGCATGTCGTGAGTGATTTTTAGTGAACACTGTTATTTGGACCTGCTGAGTTTGTGTAGTTCCTTCATTTTATAACTTAATGTTCATATTTATCAGGTAAAAATACATAACTGCTTTAGTGCTCAATTACCATCTTATAACTGCTGCTTCCAGCCATTTCTAACTGAGTGCTACTAAAATACTGCAAGATGAAACTTGCTTAATAATTGCAGTCCAGCTCCCTTCTTCCCTGTACAATTTCATTATAATAGGTTTCAACAACTCTAAATGGGTGAGCTGAACTTCAGTTGAACTTTGTGGAGGTAGCATTACAGCAAACTTTGTAACAGGAAAGATGGGTGCTAGTGGTTGAGGGATCAATGGATCCGACACTAATATGTGTACTAGTGTCTCTGTGAGCCACCCTGCACTTTGGGCAAAACTGTATAAGGGCTCTGCAGATCCAGCCCTTTCCATGTAGGTGGTATTTGTGCATGCTCCAGGGGGAAGTGATTGGCTGCTGAAGCTGAGTGCGCCTGGTACATTTTGAAAACACTGTTGTTCAAGCTGCCAGTCACTCTTGTTGTTTGACAGCTAGCCAGACACTGTATACAAAAGCAAAACAATCTTCTCCTCCCGGAACGGCTGCCTAGAATATTGACTGCTTTCGTGATTGCTTTACTGTAGCAGCAATAAGGAAACTGTCCTCTTTGCTAATTGCTATTATGTGTGGGGTATACACAGAGCTACAGCAGCTGTGAAACAACAGCCTTTTTGCCTTCTGATTGTAGGCTTCGTTCTAGCATTTTTGAATCCAGTGAATAAACGTGGAACTGAGAGAGGAAGGGAAAGTTGTTTGCCTTTTCTCAGGGACAAAATAGAGTAGGGAGTTTTCAGGTTGCCTGCTTTTTGCCACTAAATCACACTTCTTTTGTTTTCTTTGGGTACGTGACCCTCCCTGTGACAATGGTTTTATCCCGCAGTACTTGTGGTGTCTTCTTCAGCCTTTGATGTTTCATAAAGAAATCCATCAATTGCATTGTTAGATCTCTGTTATACTATGGAACAGTATAGGTTTAATCATTTCATTTTTTTCATCTTCCAGTATTTTATTAAATGCTTATTTTGTCAGATTGCTTCAAAGACCATGCCATGTAGTGAACACATCACCTATTAGCAGTGATCTAATAATGCTATGAACGTAAACGTTGGCCCTTTCCGTACACTTTAGCCTAGCAGTCATATTCTTTTTGTGTTTGGAATCTAAGCAGATCAGGAATGCTTTCAGTGAGCTTAGTTTTTTTCTGAAAAAAAACCCTGTAATGATCAGGTATTTTTTGCCCTTTCTCTCAATGCTGTTTTAATGGAATGTCTCGTAACAGAAGGTGATCTCCTTTGTAGAAATATAAAATACAGAGAAACTTTATTAATGGCCTATGGAAGTACCTTGGTGGGAGTGAGGGCAGAATCGTTCGAGTCTAGTGTCCTCGTATGGATGCTGTGCTGCTTTCCAGCACGACCAGCAGATGGAGAAAGAGAAG